ACTGCAAAGAGATCTCTGTTTGTTTGAATTTTGAAGGGGAGTTCTAAAAGTTTCTGCTAGTCGTTATCTTGTTATTTTCCTTCAGTTTGATTTGATTGTGAAACGGCTGCTTTGTGTTTGTTCGTTTGAATCTCCAAGAGGAGACATAACATTATTGTTTCTGGCCTAAACAAACCATCTTTCAAGCAAGATGGATTTAAATCAACTGCAGCGTTTGGTAGAGCAGCAGCAACAACAAATTAATCAGCTACTGCAAAGCAATGTGACGCTTCAGAATCAGGTAACACAATTGCTGAATTATGTTTCCAGCTTACCAAGCCCTGCTGCTGTTCCCCCTGCCCCTCCTGTGAGGAAAAGCCCAGTATCCATGCCGGAGAAATTTTCAGGACAAATGGACATGTTTCCGGCATTTCTGGGGCAGTGTCAATTATTTATGTCCTTGAGGCCTGAAAACTTTCCAAATGATCGGGCCAAGACAGGATTCATTCTTAGCCTTTTATCTGGGCAGGCTGCTAATTGGGCTACTCCCTTGTTAGTTCAAGATAGCCCGTTGTTGAATGATTTCCAGGGTTTTCTTCAACAAATGAGAGTGATGTTTGAGAACCCAATTAAGATACAAACTGTGGACAGACGGTTATGGGACATAAATCAGGGGAAACGTTCCCTGCAGGATTACGTTGCAGAATTTCGTTTGTTGTGTTTGGACTCCAACTGGAACGAACCGGCTCATATGGCTGCATTCCAGGAAGGCTTGTCTGATGCCATCAAAGATGAGCTGGTCCATGCAGAGAGGGCTTTAACTTTGGATGCATTGATAGTTCAGTGCTTACGAATTGAAGCTCGTTTACAGCAACGTGGACGCAAACGGCTCGGTATGGAACCATCTTCGTTTTCTCGTGCACAACCCACGCCACCGAGAGTTTTCCAACCCACGGTTAATGTTGAGGAGCCGATGGAGTTAGGCGCACTCTGCCCTCACTTAACGGTGCGAGAAAGCTCGAGAAGGTTCCAGGAAGGCTTGTGCCTTTATTGTGGGGGTCTGGGACATTTTGTTAATTCCTGCAAATGGAGAGGGACCCGCAGATCCGTACCTGAAACCACTCTTGGCTTGTCAGGAAAACAGGGTAGACCTGACCTCAAGGAAACCCTAGGTCGGACACATTTCACATCCTCACCTCAAATTGCTGAAGTAAATCCTGGCTCTCCTCGGCATTTACTTTTGGACACTCGAATTTTTCTACAGTCACAGAAGGAGGAAATTCCTGCTGTTGCGTTGGTGGACTCAGGGGCTACAACCAGCTTTATGGACCGAGCTTTTGCTACGCACTATGGGATCCCATTGGTTGCTGTACATCCACCCATTAAGGTGGAAACCGTGGATGGGCATGAGCTCAAGTCTGGGCCCATTCGTTTCGCCACCCAGCCAGTGCGTATGATCATTGGGGATCATGAGGAGGCGATAAGTTTTTATATCACCTCGAACCTTCATCTCCCTTTGGTGCTCGGAATGTCCTGGTTGCGATTGCACAATCCGTTGGTGGCTTGGTCGCAGAATGGTATTTCTTTTCCAAGTCTCCAATGTGTAGACCACCTGAGACAATTGGAACGAGCGACGCCTCCATTGGCTGTGGGAGACAGAGTGGGGTTGTCAATGAAACATCGTCAAGTTAATCATCAGACTCGGGGGAAGGGCCCTGCGGTGGGGGATAGTGTTGTGATTGGAAGGATCGGTCCTGTTAGGAGTTTTGAATCTGATGACTGTTAGATCGTGGATTGACGTCAGAACCAGGAAACGTTAATCTGAAGGGCAAGCCAGTTAATTAGCACGTTGCCTTAATGGGTATAAAAGGACACAGCTGAGCTGGTGCCTTTTGCCAGAAACAAAATGACTACTTTGAATGAGGACGTTACTGCAAAGAGATCTCTGTTTGTTTGAATTTTGAAGGGGAGTTCTAACAGTTTCTGCCAGTCGTTATCTTGTTATTTTCCTTCAGTTTGATTTGATTGTGAAACGGCTGCTTTGTGTTTGTTCGTTTGAATCTCCAAGAGGAGACATAACAAATTTGTATTTAATGGACATTTGGAAGTATCAGAGCCTCCTCCTCCTCCTCCTCCTCCTCCTCCTCCTCCTCCTCCAATGCTCTGTTGGAAGAAATCCTTCTGGGTTCAGTTCCAAGTGGGGAAAAAGACACTGGAAACATGGAGGCTGTTTGGAAAGATGGTTTAATGGTGGATAGGACCACATGCCTTGGAGCTCCTGAGCGAAAAAGGGAAGAGATGCTGAGAGCCCTTTGGTTTTATGCCCTCTGTTGGGCTTTGAATTTGAGCTTGTATTCTGATTGGTTGTTAGACTCCCATGGGGCCATGCAGGGGCAACTTTATAGGTTGTCTTTTGAGTCCCAGGCTTGATTGATTCTTGTTGGGTGATGATGTAATGAAAGGGCTTTGGGCAATTCCTATTATGGGTCTGCCTGAAAGAGGTAGATCTTTGTTATGTAAAATAGACTGGCCCAGGTCCCTGCTGCACAAGGAGCAGTGACGGCTAGACTTGCCTGCTATCATTTGCATGCGAATCCTTGAAATCCTAACTCCTGCTGTGACCTCCCCAGCAGGTCTGTTCCAGAATTCAAAGCGATAGAAGTAGGCTAATGGACAAAAACAGTGCAAAAATGGTAGAAAGAGAATGAGAAAATATAACTCACAATTGCCAATTGCATTGCATTGCATTGCATTACAAATTGAATTGTGTCTGTATATTTGTATGTCTTTGTGCTGGAGGGTAGGCTACAGGAGGCTAGTGGCCCCTTCTCAATTCCATCATTCTGTGATAAATGGAGAACAGTCTACACCTGGAATACGACATCCAGTTTGGTCATCACTTTACAAAAAAAGATGTTGAGGTTTTAGAAAAAGAGCAACTAAGATGTTTGAAGGCCTGGAGACTAAAACATATGAAGAATGGTAGCAGGAATTGGGTATGGCGAGTCTAGAGAAAAGAAGATCAGAAAAGCGGACCCTGCAACTGTGGGAAGAAGAAGGAGGAGGAGGAGGAGGAGGAGGAGGAGGAGGAGGAGG